GAAATAGTGCCTAGCTTTATTTTGCCCAACGTTCGGAGAAATAGTGCCCAGCTTTATTTTCCCGAACGTTCGGAGAAATAGTGCCGGTCATTTAGCAAGAATTTGAAAAGCTTCGATCTGAAAGCCTTCTCTAAAACTCATGCAATCCAAAACCTTTGGCTGAGACTCACTGAGAAGTCATCTTATCTCTAACCAAAGAAAGGCAAAGCAGCATTGGACAGCAAGCTCCAGTCCATTCCTCAATTTGCAGACGCAGCACACTATAAATAACCCACAACTTCAAAAAATGGCAATAGCGACAAAATAATTATGATGACCTGTAATTGAAAACGTGATCAAACAATGTAAAAAAGTATTGCAATATGGCATTATGAGAATGAGAGCAGGGAGAGAGATATATATATCATACTGAGTCTTTTAGGTGCGGTTGACGAATCACAACTGCTACCATGACTGGCTTCTTGTGACTTGGGGCCGGGCACTTGGGCAGATCGGTGGCTCTGTCTGAGGTTGAATCTACCAACAGTACGTCGTCAAAGACAAGACTAGATCTATATCTAGATCTAATACTAATACTTATTAGGAAAGAAAAGAATGCTGGCCAACATCAAACTGTGTACAAAAGAGTACACTCATTTAAAGTGATTTGCTTGGTATAGAATTGTTAAAAACACTGCTTTCGTTTGCTGATGAAGTAATTAATAATATTGTTTACAAAACGTCGGAGTCCCAACTAAACTGTAAACACAAGAAGATCTGATAGTGATAGTAGGCTATTTTTTAGAAGCGAAGAAATTAAGTTGGGTTTTTTTCCAGAGTTGTTTCCCTTGATACTATCAGTTGATAAAAATTTTGTTCAATTATATTTTATATTTTCCACAAAACAAAACAAAGATACATTTTGTATCGGACTGACCAGGAGCCTATATAATACAACGTACATTGTTAGATCTATTATATCGTCTTTACTTCTTTACCATACCTTCATTCTTTCGTCATTTTCAGACTATTTTTGAGGGAGCGTTAAAAGGCTGAGTGTGTCGTGTCTATATGGCAAAGTTCAACAAATGCGAATACAACTGGGAATAATACGTGCGCAACTTGCAAACGGGGCTTTGATTTTTTTTTTTCGCCCTTGTCGGAGAAGGCTAGATCTAGATGTTACCATAAGAACTGGGGTGTGGTTGAAATACAGCAGTAAGAAGAGGTAGCAGTAGAAATGCAGCAGAAAGAGTCAGGACCCCATGAAGGGGCAATTCATGCGTTTGGGTGGGAGAGGGAGAGTGGTGGAGACGAAAGCCGACGACAGAACATGATTAAATAACAGAAGAGGAGATGAAAGGAGAACATACAGGACCCCATAAGGGGGCAAAAGGCGTATGCGTGGGAGAGGGAGAGGGGCGGAGACGAAAGCCGATGACAGAACATGATTAAATAACAGAAGAGGAGATGAAAGGAGAACATTATTTGAGAGAAAAGAAAAAACATTTCGATCGCTGTCTGGTTTCGAACCCGAACCTAGAGGTAGGCCTGCGTACGGTGTTCGCCTCTCAGTCACCTGGGTTCGAAACATGACACTGACGAAACGTCCCTCTTCCGATGGGAATGAAGCTTTCTTGTAGCGCCTTTTCACGGGACGTTAGGCACTAACTCGCTCTACAAAATAAGGGTTAGAAGGGTTTATAATGAATCCCATTCAAAAGTTTCAGTCTCAACTTGGTTGAAGTGGGTGTTCTTACGGAGGCATGCCAGTTATAGTCTCAGGCTCAGTTTGTCACAAGCCCAGTCACAGGCCCTAAATCCCTCTAAAATGCCAATTCAGTTTGTTTTGTTCAAAATTTCTTCCTTTTTGTATGCAAAGTAAAGCAAATTTAATTTACTCTGTAAATTTTCGAAAAAGAATGTTCATTCGTTAAAAAGAATTGACAAATAAAATTCAATCCATATAGCTAGTGGGCTTGTGACAAACTGGGCCTATGACAAACTGTAGTTTGTCCTGTGACTAATTGGCCTGTGTCGAACTGGGCAGTCCCCGTTCTTAAAATTACAACTACGTATTCCTCGTCCTCTTAAATGC